AACCCATCCTGCCCCCCCTCCTCTTCCTATCCAGCACCCCCCTCCTGCCCCTATCCCGGCTCCTGTCCTGTCCCCATCCTACCTCTATCCTCTCCTACGCCCCTCCTGTTCCCCTCCTGCCCCTATTCTGTTCCCGTCATAGCCCTGTCCTGTCCCCCATTCTGTCCCCCTCCTGTCCCCAATCCCACCTCTGTCCTGCCCCCTGTCCGGTCCCCCTTCTGCCCCCAATCCCGCCTCTATCCCGTCCCCCATCCTGCTTCCAGCCGGGCTCTCCGGGTGCTCACCGACCCCCCCAGTCCCACACTGGAAGCCCGGCAGGAGCTGCCCTAACCCCGACCAGCCCCGGCTGAGACTCCCCAGCACACCCATCACTCCCTCCCTGGCCCCCCCCGCCCTGCCCGGCAGCGAGCGCCCCGCGCCGCCTCAGCACCCAAAAAGTGTGGGGTTTAGCCCCAAAAAAGCGCTGCCAGCCCCCGGCGGGACCCGCCTGTCACCGGCGCCGCTCCCTCCGCGCGGTGCCTCACCTGGTGCCGGCCGGCGGCAGCGGGCCACGTCCTCGGGGCCCGGGCGGGGCGGCAGCAGGAGGAGGAGGAGGAGGAGGAGGAGAAGAAGGAGGAGGAGGAGGAGGACGGAGCGTGTCCGCCGGGCCGTGCCCGTCACCGCCGCTTCCTGCCCGGCCCCGCTCGGCGCTCGGCTGCACGGCCTGGCGGGGCAGGCGGGGCAGGGGAGCGGCACCGCCCCGCGGATCGAACCGCCCGGGGCATCGGCGCTCGATTGAGCGACCTGAGCGGTCCCGCCGGGAGCTGAGGGGAAGGGGGGGTTGTCTGAGGGGAAAAGGGGGGATTTGGGTGTGTAGGGGGTCAGGGGGTTGTGTACGAGGGTCTCAGTATCTGTAATGAGATCAGGAGTGTGTATGGTAGTCTCGGGGTGTCTAGTGGGATCAGGGGGATGTGAGGGTCTCAGGGTCTGTAGTGGGATCGGGGCGTGTGTATGAGGATGTCAGGGTCTGTACTGGGATAGGGTGTGTTTATGGGGATCTCGGGGTCTGTAGTGGGATCAGGGGAGTGTGTATGGGGGTGTCAGGGTCTTTAGTGGGATCAGAGGCGTGTGGGAGGGACTTGTGGACCTATAATGGTCTCAGGTGTGTGAGGGCAGCTGGGCCCTCTGTAGTAGCCTCAGGTGTGTGTGTGGAGGGATGACAGTGCCCATAGCAGGCTCAGGTATGTGTGTATGGGGCTTTGGGGGTCATAGTGGTCTCGAGTGTGTGTATGGGGCTGTCAGGGTTTATAGGGGTCTCAGGTGTGTGGGGGAATTGTCAGGGTCTATAGTGGGCTCAGGTGTGTGAGGGGGGCACTGTTTGGGCAGGGTAAAAGGGCAGCTCTGAGGCTTTCAGTATGTGCTGCAGGGGTTGGAGGGCCAGGACAAGGACCATGTGTCCTGTGGCAGATCCCAGCAGGGAGAGGCCCCTGGTAACCAAAGAGGAGCAGATGGGACTTTGCAGCAGTCAAAGGCACAAAGGAGAAGGGACTGTAGCAGGGATGGAGAGCTCTGGATTAGGAATTGCTTGGAGTAGAGGCAGGGAAAGGTGAGTTTACTGTTTCTGCCACACTTTGTGGTTTCCCCCAGCCTCTGAACCTAGAGACACTTTCCTTTATTGTTACAGGGGCTTATTTGATGGGGGTGGTGTGTTAATTATTTTTCTAAATAAAACTGACAGCTGTTCCCCTCTTGGGCTTCTAGAACCATCCTCACAGAGCCCTGTGAAACCAGAGGTACAGAAACCTGAGAGCCCTGAGTCCCAGGTGAGGGGTGTTGGTGTGTCCTGTGCCTCAAAGGCCAAGGTACAATATCAGCTTTTCTCATTGCAGTGGTGCAAGTCACACAATTAATGGGTTTCCTGTTTATAAAGCTCAGCTTATAATCTTTTTTCCCTCTATTTCTTGCAAATGGAAAGAAGGGTACAGCAAGCATGACTCGTGTGTCAGCTGCTCTGTGAAAAGCTGGTGCTGACCAGGCAGGAGGCAGAAATCTCTCCTCAAAGTGAGTGTGTATAAAACACTAAATGAGTTGCGATGAGAACAACAGCTCTGATGGAGGCACGAGCCAAGAACAACAGCTTGACAGGCAATTTTACACTTTCCCTGACAGCTCCTTGGGGCGTAGACAGTTAAGTTTCTGCGTTTGTAAGGGAAACATGGCATTCCTTACAGCTGAGCCGCCTCCCTCGGGTTCCCACTGAATGCCTGAGAGATGACAGCAGAGGGTGTCTCCAGAAGGCTCCTATTAAACAGGAGGAATTAGCACGGAGGGAGCAACAGCGAGATCCCAGTTTTGACCACAGAATGAGCTAAAAAGCGTTGCATCAGCAGCTGTTTGCAGTTTCTTACCCGCTGGCTGCGCACAGCTCCTGTTCAGGGGGCTCCTGTGCCCTCCTCTTGGTACCTCCGCCCTCCTGGAGTGTGAAGGGTTGTGCTGGGACGGTAAATTAGCTCCAAACCGAAAGTGCTGAGGCGGCGTGAGGCAGGGCAGATTCACCTTGGGAGGGCAGCCGTGGTTCAGACACTTACAACTAGTCGGGTATCCGCAGCAGCACGAACCAGGCGGGCAGGGGAGCGGGTGAGCTGAGTATGTGGACAGATGGAACACATACAGACAGGAAATGGGGAAGGAAGGGGGAAAAGTAATGTTTGTAAAGCTTTAAGGGGGCTCTGGTTAGTTCTGAGAAAGAGGTTGAGTCCTGCAGTCCAGTTTCTATTTTTAGCTCTGTGACTGTATAACTTTGGGAAGCGATTTGAGCAGTTCAAGCCAGGTGTGAGTGGGGAGAGGACAAAAACCCGCGGGCACCAGGCAGCTCATGCGATGTGGCAGCTGCCACCACACCCTTTCCTGTTCGCCCCGCGGCCGCGGGCAGCCCTGCCAGGCGCGCTGCCTGAGCGAGGAGAGAGAGGGGGAAAGGAGTGCTTTCCAAGATGCTGATAACCCCCAGCACCCGGCATTCCTTGGAAAAGGAGAGGTAATGAGCAGCTCTGGTGGTGTCTCTCCCCTGGGACAAGTCAAATGCTCCCAAAAGCCCTGGGAGCTGCTCCGGGGTGGTGCTGACTTTTGGCCGTGGCTCCTGTTACAGGCGATGTTGACTTATGGAAAAAGGCACCGGGCATTCTTGGCATGGGTGTTCCGAGTTAAAAATTGTCAGTCTGGGCAAACAGACCTTTGGGGTGAACTGCAGGAGAGCCAAGTGCCTGCACTGCGTTATTGCAGCTCTTGTCAGAACACTAGAGTGTGACCTGGTGCTGCTCTGGGTGCCGAGAGCCCGGCTCGGCGGGTTTGGAGAAGTGCTGCAGGTTTTGGAGCCCCGTCCTTTAGACCAAACCCATTTCCTTCCCCTCGGTGAGGTGCTCGTAGTGCCTCAGTGAGTCAATGAGTTCTGCATGTGAAGAATGCACCTCCCAGCTGAAGGTGAGCCATTAGTGTGGCTGTGCTGGAGGCAAGGAGACTAATTAGTCCTGCCCTTAGACTTTGAGCTGCAGAAATAAGATAGGTGAGATATTTTGCCTGGAATATCCATGTGAGGCATTTTCAGATCCTGGTTTTAATGGTGTGAATCTCAGCACAGGATCTGTGCCTTGGTCCTTAATTCTGTAGCAGCATCTAGTCAGGAGGGTAACCTGGACCTGGCAGATTTGGGGCATTCCTGATGGATTTGGGCACGTGTTCTAGAAACTGCTGTTTACTGGCAGGAAGGAACTGCTTCCCCTGGGTGAAGGTGAGATCACAGTGCTGTGGTGGGGTTTGCTGTGAGTATGGAGGAACAGGGAAGCAATTTCTGTATTAAAATATAATAAAGTTTGGGTGAGTACAAAGTGTCCTAAAAAGTCCATTCCTAGCACAGCAAGGTCCTGCTCCTTGCCTGCTGAGGAGCAGCTCTGCTGTGTGCCTGTATCTCAGAATCCCAGGATGGGTCAGGTTGGAAGGGACCGCAGTGGGTCATCTGGTCCAACCTCCCTGCTCCAAAAGGGTCATCCCAGAGCATATGGCACAGGATTATGTACAGATGGCTGGAATATCTCCAGTGAGGGAGACTCCACATCCTCTCTGGGCACCCTGTTGCTGTGCTCAGTCACCCCCACAGTCAAGAAGTTCTTCTTTGTGTTCAAGTGGAACTTCCTGGGCATCAGTTCCTGCCTGTTTCTCTTCTCCCATTGCTGGGTCCCCCAGAGAGCAGAGCCTGGTCCATCCCCTGACCCCTCCCTGCAGACACTGACAGACATGGACGGGACCCCCTCTCAGTTGTCTCTTCTCGAGGCTGAGCAGGCCCAGCTCACAGAATCATCAGGGTTGGAAGAGACCTTTAAGATCACCTAGTCCAACCATTCACCCAGCAATGCTACTGTAACCCCTAAACCACTACAATCATATCACCCAGTGCCAGGCCCAGATGCCTCTTGAACACCTCCAGGGATGGTGACTCCACCACCTCCCTGAGCAACGTATTCCAATGCCTGACCACCCTAAGAGTGAATTTTTTTTTTCTAATATCTAACCTAAATCTCCCCTGTCTTAGATTAAGGCCATTTTCTCTGGTCCTCTCACTGCAGGCACGATAGAAAAGACTGTTTCAGGCAGCTGTAGAGAGCACAAGAGCTCCCTCAGCCTCTCCTCCTAACGGAGATGCTCCAGTCCCTGGATCAACTTTCACCCTCCTCTGGGCTCGCTCCGGGACCTCCATGTATCTCGTCCCGAGGAGCCCAGAACCCTGCAACACAAGTGCCCCAAAAGGGAGACGAACCATAAAAAGCAGAGAAGTCAAACCCTCAACCACCCCGGTGTTGGCGGGGCGGGGACTCGAACCCGCGTCCCTCCCTCCGTGCCGCGCTGCCCGGGCGGGGGCGCGGCGGCCCCGGCGCCGCCCGGAAGCGGAAGCGCCGTGGCCGCGGTTCCCGGCGCGGTTGCCGAGCGGCGGCCGCTCCGCCCGGTCCGTCCCGGCCGCTGCCGCCGCTCCCGGAGCCCCCGCGGCCATGAGCGCGGCCGGGCTCGTGTCCGCCCCCCCCGCCGCCCCGCCGGGGCCGCCCGCCCCCGCCATGGCCCCCGCGCCCGACTACTACGAGGAGGAGGAGCTGGAGAGCGCCGAGGAGGAGGACGGCGAGCGCAGCGCCCGGGCCCGCGACTCCGATGAGGGTGGGTGCGGGTTTGGTGCCCTGGGACGGTGTGGGAGAGAGTGGGATGGAGAAGGGGACACACCCCGGCCGGGAGGATGCGGGAGGGTTGGGTGGTTAAAGGCTCCGGAGCAGCGAGAACGCCCGAGGAAAACAAGGACCTGTCGGGTTGCAGGGGTGCCCCGTGGAAGAGTGGGACAGCCGAGTCCATGGAGAGGTGGAGTTGTGGTTTTCCGGGTGAGAGGAGGAAGACGGGAAGGCGCTGAGCAGGGGGGATTGAGTGGGGCAGCAGGGGGAAAATAGTGGAGAAACCCAGTGTATTGATTGAGTGGGGCAGCAGGGGGAAAACTGGGGAAATCCAGTGTTAATTGAGTGGGATAGC